CGCTAAAAAGTATTTCAAACTATTAACATATTGGTACTATGTTTATACTCTCTACCGCAGCTACTGTATGATGTCATAGCAATGACGTCACACTCAAGCCAATCAGCCTTGAGGAGGATAGACTCGTCGGACTGTAGCGGTTGTAAACAACTTGTCGCCCCGTGTGTCTGCCCGTGGCGCCAGTTATCTGTCGGAGGTAAGGGTGAAAGATGCATATAATGGCCATGGAACGCTATTTTAGGATTATTGGTGAATAGCAAGAAATAGTTTTGGTGGTTTGAAATTGTTGTCCTCAGTGATTGGCTTGATTCTCATTTTGGCGGCATAAGCGGCTGTTTGGTTACATTGCATTTTTTATGATTGTGTAATTATTATGATTATGTTCCTCCAAAGTAGGCATCACATATCAATCTCAAAGGCAGATCATCTTCTTTTCATGCCTATAATTTTCTTCAAGAATATTAATAAAAAATATTCCATTTACCCCTGCCTATCATATATCCCATGGAGCTGCCGGTGGAAGTAGGCATGCAATGTGACCTAGCATTGGCGATGTGGTTAATTAGCTTTAAAGTACTATGGAATGCTAAAGGTCATCATTTAGAATGGTTTTCAAAACATTCCACTAGGAAATATTCATTGAAACCTGAAAATTACTTACAAAATGTAAATGTATAGCCACGTCTCAAGAGCATTCAGCCGTCTTCTCAGTAAATATATAATGAAACATAATCTTACCTGACCTAGCCTTACCTACAACCTACAACGTACGGTATTGGTAAAGCTGGCATCACTGTCGGCGTATATTAGTTTGGTAGGTTGTGGGTAGGTAGGTTTTAGGTCAGTAGGTAAGGTTAGGTTAGGTTAGATTGTTTTTAAGATTCCTTTTATCTACACATTTACCGGTTAGCGCTGACGGTGACACCAGCTTTACCGATACCCAACCTACCACCTACAACCTACAACCTAAAACCTACATTCAATGGTGGCGGGTGGTGATAATTGTTATACCTATATGATAATACTGGAGATAAATACCATACAGATTAGCTGGTATCCATGACACACTTTCTTAAAGAAGGTCTTCTATTAAATCATGTCTATATTATAGGAATCAAATGATTTTTGTTGTAGTCACATTCCCTACTCTGACCATCATGTCTGATTATTTCCAGTTACCACTGACAATGCCCAAAACAAGAACAACAAAGGCCCAAAGGTGGCTGTTTGGTAGTGCGCAAAGCTGCTGGTAAGTGGCATCAAAGGATAGGATGTGCTTTGTTATTTCCAGGCACGTAGCTCAGGGGGGGGGGGGGGTCACAGGTTGTGGCCTAGTGTTGTACCCCTCCAAAAAAGAAAGATTTCTCGGATTAGGCCCACTATTTTGGGGGTGTGTCACAGCTGTTTTTATTATAAAAAAAAATCGCCATCACCGAGGGGGGAAGGGGCACGAGGGCATGGCTCCCGTGCCCCTCCCCCCTCCTTGGTTACGTCCTTGGTTATTTCTGAGTTTGGATATCACAAAGCTTTAGATATAAATTAGAATGTAATAAGAAGCTTTCAGCATTGCACCTTTCCAGACACTGATAATTCATTTGCCTTTATTGTTTCAAAAGTCAATTTTCAACACAAAAAAGTTGAAATTATTAACTCAAATAATTGCAAATATATACTTTGGTAATTTGCCTTTCGCATCACTATCAACAAAATAATCAAGGGTGACTAAATATGAAATGTTCCTGCATGATCTGCATCGTGAACAATTGTCAAGGTATGATGTTTGCGTGTTGAAATGTTATAAAGAACTTATGTCATAAAAACACAACTTGTAAAATTGTGTCTTTCCATATTATTCTGCAAGTAAGCCTTGGAAGGAAGAGACACTATTCCGTCCTACAGAAGCCATTTAGAAATGTGTGACATGTTCAGCACTTTGAGTCAGTCGGTGCCCGGACCTCAGTCGGCTGTATGACCGTCTCCTCGTCCTCTTTTGTCGGCTCCGCCCCGTGCTGTTCTATAAGGGTGTCTGACCCGCTGCCGCTATCCCCACTGTGAGGTCTGACCCGCCGCGCGCTGTCACCACTGTCGGCCCTCTGTGTGCGCGGCAGGTGGTGGTGGACGTCTCTGCCCTGACGCGCGGCGTGCGTCTGCTCAGTGTGGAGTTGCCGCTGACAGCGGTGCCGGCCGGACCGGCTGCCTCTCCGGCGGCCGACATTGAGCGCGGCACGTGTCCGCCGCCGTTCGGGCCGCTGCAGCTGCTGCAGTCGGCGGCGCAGCTGTCCGTCTCCGTGTCGCTGGCCGTGCCGCTGGACCTGCTGCCGCGGCCGGCGCCGGCGCGCTGCGCCTACGGCCGCCTGCTGGCCGTCGTCTCGCAGCGCGGCCTGCAGCGCAGCGGCGTGCTGCAGCTCATCCAGCAGCTCAACGAGCCGCCCAGCCCGGCGGCGGCCGAGGGCACCGCGCCGCGCCGGCCGGGCGACGTCAGCACACCTGGCATCAGCGGCTTCTGCCTGGCCGACCGGCGCCTGGCGCCTGTACCCGCGCCAGCCGGCCGCGTTCCGCGTGCTCGAGGACCGCCCGCTACGCGCCCAGCTACTCGACACCCGCCTCTACACGTTACAGAAACAGGAGCCGGCGCGCGCCGTCCGCGCCATCAGAGAGTGCTTCCGCACGCAGTGGCTGTCGGAAAATGAACCTGCTTCCCAACGAGGCCGGCCTGCAACAACTGCTGGCCGGCTGTTGGCCGAAAAAAACGCCTTCAACCGGATGTCAGTTGTCAAATCAACGCGTATTAATGCATTCACTAGGATGGGCTTACGTAAAGCTGTAGAATTGCAAATATATAATGGCACTGTTTTTGATCCGTTCGGTATGCATTGGTATCATATGATCTCTCATTCACAGACGATCAGCTGCGAAGACCCAGATCCGTAGTAGAGGGCTCATCGAGTCTGGGTCCAGCTCCCCGTACTTCCTCCACTTTGGAAACACCGCAGCGCAGACCACAGTTATACATAATATTTAGTTTTCATTCACTTCATAACCGAAGGTTGTTTGATAGGTGATATGCTGCTTGAGTTGCACCCCGGTATATCAATACGAAGCTTCCGTCCCTGCCACATACCACTGAAGGAGGCGGCGGCGGCGGCGGCCGGGGCCGGGCTGCCCTGCCCACCGACACAGTCTGTGAAATGCCCCAACAACCTTTAAAATTCAACAGGCTTCATAAATGTTTTTTGCACCATATTTTCTCGCGTATATGAAAGCTCTAAAATGTACAATATTCCTTTCAGCCGCAAGCGATATAAAAGCTCTACAAAACGTCATGTCTCTGTGTGCAAGAAAGACACATATATTGTGTATAATCGAGCGTACATGATCTGCAGCGCTGCGGAGGGCTGTTCGGTTGCCGCTTTTTACCAGTCGGCTCTAGGTCGGACATATGGATAAACAAAATGGAATAGTAATATTAAACAATGCTACCTGCTGATGCTACTGGGCCTCTCATTGGTGAAGAACTGGCAGCCAGCCAGCGTGTTTTTGTGAGAACTGTTTTAACAGCAGCAACCGAACGGCTCTCGGGCCAGCGACCAGTGAGCGTAGACAGCACAGCGCTCCGTTAGGCATCGGCGGGCAAGCACGCATTAGCTGTAGACGGACCGGCCGCCCGAACATATTTGTCGGTATCGAAAGTATCGTGAACCAAATGACTGCTAGCGAAAAAAGGACTGCCTCTCGTATCCATGAAAACATGTGTTCTACAAAAGTACATAATTGCTTAGTTGTCGCCAGTCACTCATTGCACCATGGCGTCAGTGTGGGGCCGCGCCCCGAATCATCTCAATCGCCAGGCAAAGCATCTCAATCGACAGGCACATGGTAGTCCAGCTACGAATCCGAGCCGCGGCATCCCGTCTATGTATCTACATTACACCACAATCGAACACTGTCGGGCCACCCGAGACAGCAGTCTCCAATGTAACATCAAGACACGCCACTCGTCTAATATCAGAAAAATGAGCATTGAGTACCTACCGAATATCGACTACAGAAGATTACAATGGGGTGCAGATCTAGCAAGAGTGTCGCGGTTCGTCTCGGCACGGCTTACAGGCCGCCGAGCCCGCGCAGGTGACCGCCAGCTCCACCTGTTCCACCTCCGGCGCGGAAGCTCGATCACAAGACTGACCTCAGTCGGCGCTCTGTGCTCGGCACAGGGCGACCGGGTCAGGAGCGGGCCGCTGCCGCCAGGGCCGCGGCCACCAGCCACGCGGCAGCGCCCGCGCACCGGCCGCCACCACCCGCTCAGCCCAGATGCGCGCCACGGCGTCATTGGGGCTTCCCTGAGCAGGATCGAACCAGAGCTGCATGCACGGCTCCGTATCCGCCGTGAACTTCCACGAGTGATCCCACACCTGAAAAAGGCGCACGGTTTGCGTCACAGCTCGGCTCACTTTCACAGTCCACGCACCGGCAGCAATTAAGGGCTACTTAGATAGTGTGCTAATAGAGCGCAATCACTTAGCTTAATCCATATAGTCCACCATGAATTGTTAATTACGAGCGAGCGAAGCGAAGTCTTTTCAATATCACGGAAAAAGCTCAGTATGAGCGGCCCGACCCGGCCCGGCCTGTAACGCTTTTGAGAGGCTTATATCTCAGCAACCGCTGGACCGATTGGCCTGCGGTCTTCTTTTTTTTTGTTGGCTAGCCCTATTCCCTCTACCCCGTAATTGACTACTCTTGATACATTACAGGGACCGTCGTGGCACGTGCCACGTGAAAAGTCAAGGGTGTTATTTGTCAAAAGTTGCAAAAGAAGTGATTTTGAGAGGCTCATATCTCAGCAGCCGCTTGGGCGGTCTTGCGGTAAATTTTGTAGGGTAGCTGGCAGCTGCACCCCTTCAACCCAAGGTCGGATGCTCTTGATCTATGTGAGTGACCCCCACTGCACGTGCAAAATGCAAAAAGAAGAGGTGCCGAATTTGTTCCCATTTCAATAACTCTGTAATTACTGGGGCGATTTAGCTGAAACTTGGCATACAGGTAGGCAGTAGGCACCCACCAGGCAATGCATTCCCATATGTTGCGGTTAGGGTGCTACTGCTTAGTGTATTATATGTAAAATAAAGGACGCTTGAATCTTACCTGAGTGATGTCCATTTCTTCATCACTTTCATCTGTGGGTGACCGAGCAGCGACAGCAACCCAAGGCGTATACGGAATCTGTAAAAAAATGAGCACACCGTTACCACATGTTTTAATAAAACTTACCTATAGGGAGGTAGCATAAAATACAGATCAAAACAATAACATACAAACATACAGATATTCGGTTAGGTTGAAATGGCTAAAAAATATAAAAAATAAGGGCAAGGTACTGGGGCTGTAAAGCTGTAAGGGCTCGGTACTAGTAATAATTTTTGGCTAAAAATATCACAAATAAAGACTCTGCACTAAAGCTGTAATGTCTGGTACTAGGAATAACTTTAGAGTGAAGTGTTACAAAAACAATATTCAAAGTCTTTTGATAACTTTTTTTTAAACAATATAGCAGGCATTTTCATCACTTTTAAAAAATAACTTACATTCTGATCCAGCACAGCACTGTTCTTTAGACGCAAACGTTTTTGACTGTGCTTATCATGGTGCGCACTTCTTGTTAAGTTTAAGTGGTCATGTGGTCTTGGCTCATTGGTCATGCCACACACCCTCATCCACTTTTCTCTGTACTTCTTTTTTAGCGGGAACCTAAAAGTAAAAAAGGGTCAACACATGCTTAGTCCATGCAACACAAACTCTGTGTATTAAGCTGAATAGCTCCACTGAGCCCAGTTTCACCAAGTGCGGTAAACTTAATTTTGGGGTAGTTTTTGTAGTTAAGTAGTGGGGTAGTTTGGTAGTTTACCCCAAATTGAGTTTACCGCACTTGGTGAAACTGGGCTCTGGTGAGTTTCCTTTTCTTGTCAGCACATAAGTGAAAGAAAACTGTGTAGACAAGAGATGAACCAAACCCCCATGGAAAGGTAGGTGTTACCACAACCAGGAAATGGGATTTGAAGGGCTGGATAAATGTGTCTGAGTTCTGCCTTTCAGCCAGACTGGAAAACATCCATACACTACGCCAGATGCCCGTGAGCCCCTCATGCGCCAAAATTTGAAGCAAGCAATTTTGAGCTGAAATTCCAGTGCATGATTTCCACTGAAAGTTGGGTGCCTGTTTGCACCAAAATTAAGCCACTTTTACATAAAGCACATGTGCATATCTACCGACCAAGGCTATATCAACCAGACAGATCGTTCCGGGGCCTCGGAGTCAGACACTCTTCCCTTTCTGAGCGTCTGAATTAGTTAATGTTCCCATGAAAACCCAATACCACAATTTGTGTGGCACACTGTAGAATCTTAAGGTGAAACAAGGCCCAGGCCGGAAGTTCCGACTCTCTTCAGACCTGCCAGCGCCCGCAGGGCAAGTCTGCTGCTAGATTGACCACAGCATGTCAAAAAATTCGGTGACAGCCATTTGCATTAACATTATGCTCCATGCGGTCACCCTGCGCCTAAAAATTCAGCTGCCACAATGCGCTGAATTTGACGCATGCAAAATTATGCTGGATGTGCGATGTGCGATGAAATTTTCGGGGCAACGCCGCAATCACGCCACTTGGCATGACATATTCGGCATAACTTGTTTTTTATCCAGTCTGGCATTTCAGTTGTGAAAGCCTGAACAGTTCATAAGGGTTTGCTAATCCAGGGGAGAGTTCTGTGAAAACAAAAGTAATAGAAGAGCCATTGCAATAAATAAGAATTTAGGTACCTACCTAGGTACCTACTTACTTGTGCACAGTCACACGCATATCAGTCCCGACCCGACGTAGGTCGTTTGCTCCGCGGATCACGCACTTCTTCATCGTTATTATAGGTATTTGTTCGAACAAAAATGCCCTGATTTCGGATCAGAGCCACGGTATAAATGATATACTGCCTTGCGTAAGATAAAAATACATTTTAGCAATTGGCTACCAAACGAGATGTCATCTGTTCAGGGCATAGCATAGGTTTACTTTCATAGACCTCATGAAAGTAGCTCATGAAACTCATCACCAATCAGCGCGACGGATTTCAAGATTCGATTGCGGATGTTCATCCGCCGGCCGATTGCCAGAACAGACAACGAAAAATAACGCAACTGCTCGTGGTCTGCTCGCTAGTACAGGGATCCGTGCCTGATCAGTACTGCTGCAAGCTGATTGGTTAAAAACCAAAGCCTCGCCGCGGGTGGCTGTATTGTCGGATAAGAACGCATTCCTGGGATAAGAACGCATTCCTGGCATATTTTCTTTTAAAATTGCCGATAACTACGAATGGAGGCCGAAATCGGCCGTAAGGGGGTAGACAAGTTGGTTTTCGGACACGGGCTACAAGATGGCTATCTCAGTTTCAATCCCCATGTTAAAGGTGGCCCTTTTCCTTTAATAAAATATTATCTAAAATAACTCTTAGATGTATTTCTGGATTTTCGGCAAGTCCAATTACATAATATAAAACTGGCGCTTTATGTTCTAACTGGTGTGTGAGTGACCGCTAACAGAAAATGCTGATCAACGAAACCAATGGAATTACATTATAAGTGAGCATGAACCTTACTTACGGTTAATTCACATGATGGTGAAAACCCTGAACACGTAATTCACATGACGGTGAAAACCTTGAACACGGTCGTCAAGTTAGATGTAAGTGAATCCTAATCTATAATCTAAGATTCGGAATCAGGTGAGCCCCTACGATTTGGACCAAACTTGGTCAGTAGATAGTACGTAACGTCCTGATTACGATGCACCCAAAATCTAAGCTCGGCCCGCCATATTTACGAAGTTACGGATGTTTGAATTTCAAGGTCATTCGGGAGAGCCCCTACGATTTCCGTCAAAATTTGTGTACGGACACTCTAGATGCTCCGCATTACGAATATCACAAAAGTTAAGCTCGGCCCGCCATATTTACGAAGTTACGGAGGTTTGAATTTCAAGGTCATTTGGGAGAGCCCCTACGATTTCCGCCAAAATTGGTATACAGACATATTACATCGTCCTCATTACAAATATCATAAAAGTTAAGCTCGGCCCGCCATATTTTTCAAGTTACGGAGTCACAAAGTTACGGAATTTCAAGGCCATTGGGAGAGCCCCTCCGATTTTCGTCAAAATTTGTATGCGGACACATTACATGCTCCTCATTACGAATATCGTAAAAGCTAAGCTCGGCCCGCACTATTTCAAAAGTTACAGGTTTGAATTTCAGTGATTTTCAGTGATTTTCAGACCTCAGTAACTTTTGAAATAGTGCGGGCCGAGCTTAGCTTTTACGATATTCGTAATGAGGAGCATGTAATGTGTCCGCATACAAATTTTGACGAAAATCGGAGGGGCTCTTCCAATGACCTTGAAATTCCGTAACTTTGTGACTCCGTAACTTGAAAAATATGGCGGGCCGAGCTTAACTTTTATGATATTTGTAATGAGGACGATGTAATATGTCTGTATACCAATTTTGGCGGAAATCGTAGGGGCTCTCCCAAATGACCTTGAAATTCAAACCTCCGTAACTTCGTAAATATGGCGGGCCGAGCTTAACTTTTGTGATATTCGTAATGCGGAGCATCTAGAGTGTCCGTACACAAATTTTGACGGAAATCGTAGGGGCTCTCCCGAATGACCTTGAAATTCAAACATCCGTAACTTCGTAAATATGGCGGGCCGAGCTTAGATTTTGGGTGCATCGTAATCAGGACGTTACGTACTATCTACTGACCAAGTTTGGTCCAAATCGTAGGGGCTCACCTGATTCCGAATCTTAGATTATAGATTAGGATTCACTTACATCTAACTTGACGACCGTACCTTGAACACAATATTTCTTACGCGAGCTGTTGACTTTACTAATAAAATGACGTCTTCTGCTGAAAATGTTAAAATTTGATAATCAAACTTTGTTTGAGAGCAAGTTTTTCAATGTATAGCATTATTTCATATTAGTTATAATTTTTATGGCTGTTTATAGTGAAACAAAACAATTTATTGTCACTTTTTTGCTATTGACGTCATTAAAAACTCAAGTAAAGTTTTTGACTGCAAGAGGCAATTGTGGCTTGCACGTCCTTGGGGATTTGAGCGAAGATCATTATTTGGAAAAATCAAAATAGATTAATGTTTTTCTTTCTTGGATGCTCACTTGTGTTTTGATGCATTGCATATCAAATTAGTCTGAGACTTGCTCAGAAGGCTGCTTCAAGCCTGGCATATCACACCCCAGAAAATATGCAAGGTAAGAAAGAAGCAAGAGTTTTGACTAGACAATCACTTTTTGACAGTCCATCAACTTCAGTTTCATTTTCCATACCTAACATTGATAATGAAAAGCATCAGGGTCTGTTGTTCTGTCCCACAACCATGCTTCAGGATTTGGCATTAGATGTCTACACTGCTAGTGCTTCTATTCTGGTTCGTTGTTTATGTTTTCTGTTGATGTAGGTACCTACCTACCCATCTTTCTTAACCCCTTGCTGTAGGCATGCGTTGCGCATCAGGCTTCAGGCCTTCAGCCTAAAGCCAGATACACAACCACTTAACCTATGATGCTTCATGAGCTTGAGAATCTATAGCCCATTGCAATGTGCTTTTGGCTGTATGTTTCAACTAAAAACAACTTATTATATACTATTTGGCTGCATTTCATTGAAAGTATTTACGGCCGGCTGACGGCTGGCTGCCCACAGTTTGCCACGGCTGTGGGCGGCTGTGGCTGTGGAGCCACGGCTTCGGGGCGGCTAGGCTGTGGAAAATTGCAGCCGTGCAGAACTCTAGTCAGAGGGTCAGCTCAGGGGTCAGGCCCAGGGGTCAGACGGTCGACCAGCGGTCACAGTCACGCCGTCACGCACGCTGGCCGTCGTCACGTCGCCACGTCACGCCACCATCCGGTCACGGACCGGCCTGTCACGCCACACCACCGGAACAGCCCCCACTGCCGAAAATACCGACTCTGCCGTACCGCAGACTAGGCAGGAGGGGACGGAAAGAAAGGCTTGGAGGGAGGGGAGATGGGTGCTCAATGCTCAATGGTCGATGGTCGATGCTCAATGCTCATATTTCTGTAGGATGTTGCGATCCGCTTGTACAACAGTTCTTACGGCACGTAAATGATGCAACCTCCAAAAAGTTGACATGTTTACAGATATTGTGTCAATTGTCGACCCATAAATTATTTTGGCATGGCGGATTAGCCCAGCAGAGAGATCTGTGAGCACAGATATGTGCGATTCCCATCCGCTCACAATGTACGGATGAGAGGAGGGTTGGAAAAAGCTTTTTGTTCGTATGATGGCTGCGATGCAATGAAAATAATAGTTCATTGCATCACAGTTGGTGGATTTTTTATAAGTTTGTATCAACATATCGTCACAACGCCCGTTTTTATGGACAGACAGACTGACACAACCGGTAATTATTGACAGAATCCAGCAGAACCCATCGCGTGGACGTGGAGTGAGACAGTGGCTGCCATTGAAGTTGACAGGCATGGTTGCCCTAGCACGGTACCGATAATAGGCGGAGCACAGTGCAATAAATGAACGCCCGAGCACCGAAGAGCGCAGTGTTGATAAGAGCTCTCACTTTTCACAGTACGGCAGAGCTTTCTCATGCAGTGCGGACACGACAAAGGCTTTTGTCTTCACTCGCATCGCCTTTCCAGCATCAACTCAGAGGTGTTAATGGGGCCGTGCCATGTAGAATGGGGTGAAATTGAAAAGTATGAAACGCAAGGATTTATTTGACAGTATCATTAAAACATATCAAGAAAACATATCAAGATTTTGTAGTTCGCTTTTGAGTTGACACATTTGCAATGTATAGTATAGTATCCACGAATCCATGCAAGGCCGTTGTTTCGGCATGCATCATTTATAGCTTACCAACATAAATAGCTCAGGGTATTATTGGCAAAAATAGGCAACAACGATCATTTACAGCTCGGTTGATAAGATTGTTTGACACTAGATACGCTTGTGCTGACATGCCTTGTCTCAAACAATATTTGTTAAGGTTTCATGATCATGTTCCTAAAAAGTTTAAAAATATATTGGAATTGAGTTTACCACCTCCCGTTAGAAGTTAGTTCAAAAATGCAGCAAGCTGCCAATTGCCTCAAAGCCTCATTCTTAAGACACCCGTGGCACACATGGCTTGTCACCAGTGCGCCGTTTCGGTCTCCGGCGCGCCACTTTCGAGCACACCCGCTGCGCGGCAAACAAGGAGAATGGACGACTCCGCCCGCCTCCCGCTGGGCGCTTCGTCTTCCCCCGGCGGGGGTCCGCCGTCCGGGGCTCCGGGGAGGGGCGGGGAGGGGGGAGAAGGCGTGGCAAGGAGAGGGCGGGGCGGAGAAACGGGGAGGGGTTCAGGGGTGCGGCAGGGGCTGAGCGGGAGGGCTGCATTAGTGAAGAAGTTTGCAACTATGCCTGTTATACAGAAGGTCGCTGAGAATTGATATTTATCATACCTTGTTTTATTAGCTAAGACTAACTGATGCCTACCAATTTCCTTCTTCATTTTCAGCATAGAAGCTTCAGCAAAAGATGTCGGCCACCCAGACAGAGCGGCTTGCTATACCTTTGAATTGCATAGCAGTACATTCTAGGATAGGTAGGTGCCACAGTGTCAACTTATTAACCAACTTTGCGTCCACCTTTACCGCACGTGTCAGAACACACTTAGCACTGCTAAAGCAGACTGAAAAGAAAAATTCACAAGTCACCTAGGAGAGATAAGCAAGCTGCTCGACGCTGGAGTATCTACCAGAGACCGATAAGGCATATTTGCTACGAGTAAAGGTTGTTAGCATGAGGTCATAAGAGGTCGTGTAAGGTCGCTCGGGATCGACTACTTTTTTTTTCGTTTGTTCAGGAGACTTATTCGTATACTTATCCTCACATAGTTGTACCTCTGGATTCTAAATGACTGGCAATCAATGCCTACCCCCTGGGAAGTTTAGAAGCTCAGTCGCAAGCGAATGTCTCCAAAAATTTATGAACTTCCATCCGCCGGAACCTGCATGGTTGCATGCAAATGGCAATCCATAAGCGACAGCTATGCGCTGTCCCATCCTTGACATTCTGAAGACAGGGTTAAACCGGTACCGCTGCCTTTAGATGACGCAACGCGTATCGAGTCCGCGACATACTCGCACGTAAAGCACAAGCAAACCGGTCCACGTATACTCAAACCGGAAGTCCGTGACAGTGCGCATACATTGGTGGGTTGGTCCGTCACCAA